ACAGCTTAGTTGATGGACATAAACATAGATTGGATCACAGCTAAGCAATCCACACCGGACCAAAGCTGAGCCAAACCCCAGGAGGAGAAAAGCCGGGGGGGGGGGGGGGAGGGGGGGAGGGCGGGCGGGGAGAGGGGCCATGGGGGGGGGGGGGCGCCTGGAACACAGACTCTTGAACTGCTAGCTCATTTGCTTTTCCTAAATCAGTACACCACATTCTGTGGTTCTAAGGAAGTTAAGTGGTTTCATTTCTGAATTACAGGCAGGGTTAATTGCACGTTGGAAGGTAAATAGTCTTTATATTGTGCTAGGTTCTTTATTATTATTATTAATTATTATTATTATATAAACACAGTAGTAGCCATGTGCTCACATTGCAGACTGCCTTGTGGATTTTTTAATTGTGCAATTAGGCTGAGACTAGGCCCCTAGCACTACACCCCAGGGGCTAAAATCTCAGCCCTCTGCAAGAGTCCAAAGGGGAGGAATAGGAAAGACCTTCAAAAGTCCAAAGAATTTTCTCCCCCTCTCCCTGCCACAAGGCCTCAAATGGTCCACCATGGAAAACGCTTCCGTTGGATAACAAAAGTCCCTTCTCAGCAGCAAGAGGGCGGGAGAGGACATTTAGGGAGAAGAGGGCGGAGGAAGTGCTGGGTCACAGGCCAGAAGATCAGTGCTGAACATCAGCCTATCTGTTGTGCACGGAGAATGACCCTCCCGAGCCCTGCTCACCCAGGTGTTAAATGGGGGCTCCTCCCCCAAATGAAAAGCCACCAGCCAACCACCTAATCCACACCAGGTTTCCCAGCGAATGGACAAAGGAAGTTGCAACTCTTCTTGCTCATATGGAAGGACACCAGCCTTCGTGCTCTGGCTTGGTTTGGTTTTCCTCTGTGTGGCCTTTTAGAGAAGACAAAGCAGTGAGACACAAGCAAGAGAGGGGAAAGGGGCTCGGGACACCTCAACTCTAACGGACGCCCTGGGATTCGCTGGCTGGCTCCACAACCAGGGCACCTGCTCCGCCTCCTCTTGGCCGAGTTAAAGGTAGACACAAGAACGAAAGACCCAACTGACCATGAGCAGGGCCTGGGGCCTTCAGCTGTGGGCTGTCCGACTCACAGCCAGCCCCACATTTCTCTTGGGGAGTCTATGACTGGATCCAATAAAAGCCTCCTTCTTTCCACACTAAAAGTCTCTTTCTCTACTCTAGTCCCCTTTGCCAATTTTATTCTCCATTTTCCTGCCGCTGAGATGTATGGTATGAAAAGTCTAGACCCTGGACTCAATGCACTGACAAAGTCATCATGCCCAGAGACGATGAAAACTTGTGAACAGTTTGATTATCTCAGGACTAGCTACATGATGTACCGAAACCCACTACCAAGTGAAAATGCAGGATCTCTGACCAATTGACTGATGTCGCTTTTGCTCAAGTCCCTTTACTTTTCAATTTACAAACTATGTAACTGATACATACCTGTACCTATTTAGAGGGTAGAGTATGAGATTCCAACCCAGGTGGACAATATGCAATGGTACCATTTCTGAACGTGTAAGGGGCCATCAGAACCCTCTCTGCAAGCCATTCTGAAATACACAGCTAATTGTTACCTTTCTATGCCATAGATACTAGAACTTACTCCTATCCAAGTGCTCATCCCACCTGCCAGCCATCCTCTCTTCATCCCCTTTTCCTCCCACCCTTCCCAGGTCTCGGGAGCCTCTATTCTAATTACTCATCTAAAAGAGCCACTTTTTAACTGCCGCAGATAAGTGAGATTTCACAGCACCTGTCCTCCTGTGCCTGACTTATTTCCGCTTCACAGGGTCCTCCAGTCCCATTCATGTTTTAATAGATTTTTTTTCAAGATGGTGATGAAAGAGAGCACTGATCAAAGTGCAGGACTCTCCTAAGAGGGGCGGGCTGCAAGTGCCCAGGAAGACCACTCACTCTAGTCCATTCCTCCCCCCGGGCCAGGGTCCTGGCTGCCTGAGCACCCAGCTCCAATGGTGACCACTTGTGAGCAACAAAAAAAAGCAAGTAAACAGAATTCATCTTGCTATCCTAGGAAACCTCCCTCTCATGCCCAGACTCCACTCTGAGATGAAGAACAGCTGATCTGTTAGCATGCTTAAGAGGGAACAAAAGATATGGAACCAACCCCGACGCCCCTCGGTAGATGAATGCATCAAGAAAATGTGGTATATTTATATACAATGGAATTCTAGGCCTCCATCAGAAAGAATGACACTGCCCCATTTGTTAGGAAATGGAAAATTTGGGAAAAAAATATATTAAGTGAAGTAAGCCAGGCCCAGAGAAACATAGGTCCCATGGTTTCTATTATCTGTAATAACCAGTATAAGTCTGGGACAAGCAGAAAAGGCCAAGAGCTATGTGCATATGACCAGATAAAATGATGCTAAGTGAAATGAACCCCAAGATAGGAACACAAGTGTTTCTTTTTCTTTTCTTGCTATATAAATATGTCTAACATATTTATAATGTACTATGTGAGTTTTTTTTTTGTTGTTGTTTCTTTTGTATGCTCTTCCCCCACAGTATAACTCCTGTTTTCACTGTATTTGATGTCAGTGCCTGGCATCTTTTTTTTTTTTTTAAATATATCATTTTATTTTTATTATTAAGGCATTTTACAGAGGAGTTAGCATTCTTAAGTCAGGTAATGAGTACAATTCTTTTTTTTTTTTTTTGCTTATGTGGTGCTGAGGAATCGAACCCAGGGCCTCATGCATGCAAGGCAAGCGCTCTACCACTGAGCCACCTTCCCAGCCCAGTGCCCGGCATCTTGTATACACATTTTTCGAATTTGGGGAGGGGAAAGGAAACAACAAAATGCTTAAATAATGATACAGGTTGACCCATTGTAACAATGAATGTGCAAGATACTATGTTGAAAACAAACTTTACAATTTGGCTGGGGGGTGGGCGGGGAAGAGTTGAGGAGGTGGGGGAAGTAAGGGATGGTAGGGGATAAACAAAGGAGGTGGTAACAAGGCTGGACAGGAAATGTGCTCATTACCTGACTCATGTAACTGCAACCCCTCTGTACAGTAGCTTTACAATTAAAGTATATAAAAAAGAGGGAATAAAAGACTACTATGACAACTAAACGCATCCATGTATTAAACTAATCACACAGACAGCAAACTGACACCACCCTCTCTTGATGTGAGTAAGGGTGTACTAGGTCCTTCCTGTCTCTTCTTTTAAAAAAAAAATACTGAACTGCTTCTTGTAGTGCCAAATTATTTAGGGGCTTGCCTCTGTGTTTCTCGTCTTTTCTTCAAACTAAAAACAAACAAACTCTGATGCCAGTCACGGCCACCCTGCCATCACGCATTGAAGTTCTGCTCACCTCCTGCTCGGAAACAGAACTCGCCAAACTCAGACTTGAGTCCATCCACGTTCTTAAATAGATAAGAATACCAGGAAGATGGCTCTGGAAAGACGGCTGTCTCTCAACTCCAAATCACTGCTTGTCTGCTGAGTGGAAGGGCTCAGTGACTTGTTGGAAGAGAAATGGCTCTTAAATGCATAAAACACATAAAAGAGAATTTTTGAGTGATCCCTTATTATTCATTAAAGCATTTTAGGGCCTCATTAATTCAGATAGGGTAATCAGTTGTTGATTAGCCAGGTTGTTGAACATCCATTGTCAGGTGCTGATGGGGTGTGAGAAATTACTTCTCCCATCCAGCCTAAGAGTCACCTGACCGCCATTAGCACTTCATCAATAAGGCTGAGATCTTCTGGGAATAAATTAGATGGCTTTTACTCTCCAGTCTTTTCTTCCCGTCTCCCAAACTGGCTTTTATGGCAAAATATTCCCCATCCTAATTGAGTTTTGTGGGTTTTATTTTTTTTTGTCTACCTGTGTCCGAAGCCACTTGCAAAACTTGCTTTTGACAAGCCGATCACACTAAAGCTCTGTCATTAGGTCACTGCGCATCGGTGCCTCTGGGTGTGTGTGGGTGTATCTGAATCTGCACACACCCATATGTGTGCAGGTTCCTGTGCATCTGCGGGTGTCCGTATGCCTACATGTGTATCTGCCTGTGGGCTTTGGTTTGGATCCACAGTTCTTGGCCAGAGCCTTCTTCACACCGTGGGTCTCCAGATCTAGGTATTGGGGGGGGCGGGTACTTCAGGCCTGGCTCCAAGATTCCATTTCCTTCCTTTCCAACCCTTGACTGATGGAAGAGAATCAAGTAACAGACCACGAGCCATGATGAGAAAAGTCCTTGGATTCAAGGCCGGAAAATGTGATTCCGAGTCGAGGCTCTGCTTTGGAGAGGGAGTGACTGCCACTCCTCCTCCGTTCCCTCTTCCCGACAGCCATTTCCTCTCCCTGGCAGTTTGCAATTTGTTTCCTGTCTCCTTAACAAGAGAGGCATTAACATTTACCCTGAGGTCAGATGTATATTTCTCTAAAGACAGACAAGTCTCCCAACTCTTCAAGAAACTTCTGGCCTAAAAGGGGGCATGGCTCCTTCAAGTGTCAAGAACACCCTCAGCCGAACCTTCTATGAAGTTCCTTGTTGTAGGGGTGGGGGTGGGGAGGCGCAGGTGGCTCCCGCCTGCAATCCTAGCAACTCAGGAGGCTGAGATCTAAGGATCATTGGTTCAGGTCAGATCAGGCAGGAAAGTCTGTGAGGCTCTTTATCTCCAATGAACCACCAGAGTATGGGAAGTGGTATGGTGTGACTCAAAGCGGTAGAGCACTAGCCTTAAGCAAGAAGAGCTCAGGGAAGTGGCGCTGTAGCTCAAGTGGTAGAGCGCTCGCCTTGAGTTGAAGAGCTGAGGGACAACGCCCAGGCCCAGAGTTCAAGCCCCACGACCGACAAAAAAAAAAAAAAAGAAGAAGAAGAGCTCAGGGACAGTGCTCAGGCCCTGAGTTCAAGCACCACAACAGACAATAAATAAATAAGTACATGCATACATAAATACATGCATAAATGTTCCTTGTTTTACTCACGAAACTGTTCCAGCTGGTCAGGACTGCTGGTCTCAGGCATGGCCGTGATGGTCACCAAAGGGCAGGGGTTCCCGCCCAGGGTCTGGCAGAGAACACCTTGCCGGAAGTACACTCGCTGGGGATCCACACTTTTTTCCAAGAGGTCAAGGTGAGTCTAGGGCAGAGAGGAAAACAAGCGTGCATACTATGACTCCAGTAATGCAACATTGCTATCGGCAAACAACAACAGTGGCAGCCATAGCAAAGAGCCACAGCACTTTGCAGGATCAAATCCTTCCTAGTGGAGAAGCGTTTCTGGTCTTTGTTGTTATTGTTAACCTGGTACAGACTGAGTGCTGAGGGGTGGCAGAGGAGATAGTCTGGAGAGCTGGGAGAAGCTGACCCCACAGCATTGTTCCTGCTGTGTCTGTGTGAACAAGTTGCCCCCATCAGCAAGAGGAGAGGGATGATAAATCATTCCCACCCTCACTGTGACACAGGAAGGGCGTGGTCTGCTAGAGGCACAGCACTGGGGAGCAGGAGATGAAAAAGACTGAGTCGCACACAGTACATCAGGACCAAGGACTACAGCAGAGTTGTATCTTAGTGTGTGTGTGTGTGTGTATGCGCGCACGCACGCACATCTGTCCTGGAGCTTGAATTCAGGGCCTGGGCACTGTCCCTGAGCTACTTTTGCTCAAGGCTAATGCTCTACCACTTGAGCCACAGCACCACTTTGCCACTTCAGGCTTTTGCCAAGTAGTTTATCGGAGATAAGAGTCTCACAGACTTTCCTGCTCAGGCTGGCTTTGCGCCTTGATCTTCCAATCTCAGGTATCTAGGATGATGGGTGTGAGCCATGGCACCCGGCCAAGTTGTGGGTATCTTAAAGGGAAATGAAAAGCCATCAACCCAAGAGGATGGCTAACCTAACAGGACAGCTAACGGGTAACATCTGACTTTTTCCCGACACACCACTCATATATATGCTCGGTGGCTCACGCCTGTCATCCTAGCAACTCAGGAAGCTGAGATCTGAGGATCATGGTTCAAAGCCAGTCCGGGCAGGAAACTCCATGAGACTCATCTCCAATAAAGCACTAGAAAACTGGAAGTGGTGTTGTGGCTCAAGCAGTAGAGCACTCACCTTGAGCTGAAGAGTGCAAGGACAGCACCCAGGCCCAGAGTTCAAGCCCCATGACCAACAACAACAACAACAACAACAACAAAATAGCACAAGAACGGAATGGCCACCCGAACAAGGACACCTGGTTAACCATCTTTATGTCTTCTCAAAGTGTTTTCACCAACCAGAACTTCAAGACCAGTCAGAAACAGGCTGCGGATGCCTTCTATCTCCCTGGCATGATGACTTCAATAAGCAAAGGAAGAGGGCGCAGCATCCTCGCACAAAAATCCTCCCTCCAGCCAGGCACCAGGTTCATGCCTATAATCCTAGCTGCTCAGGGGGCTGAGATCTGAGGACTGCAGTCAAAGCCAGCCCCAGCATGAAAGTCCATGAGGCTCTTATCTCCAACTAAGCACCAAAAAAGTCTGAAGTAGATCAGTGGGTCAAGTGGTAGAGTGCTAGCCTTGAGCACTAAAGCTCAAAGATAGGGCCCAGTCACACACACACACACACACACACACACACACACACACACACACACACACACACACACACACACACACACACACACACACACACACACACACACACACACACACACACACACACACACACACACACCCCAGCTCAAGATCAAAAACTTTCATCATACGTAGGCACTAATAGAGCCAAGGAGAAACTTTCTGCCTTGTTCATTAAACACCAACTGACCCACTAGATCAATCATACACACACACACACACACACACACACACACACACACAGAGGGATCTTCAGGCAAATACTGATAAAAATACCTGTAAATATCTTATAGAAAGGGAGGCAGTGCCCTCTGAAGGCACAGGAAGTAGTTGCATGGCCTGTGGTAACCACAGTATCTACTGAGGCCCCGTCAGATCCCAACTGATTTAAACAGATTCTCTTCTGGCTGCAAGAATCAAAGAACCGAAGACGTTCTGCTGTGGCTGGCCTTGAAGATGAAGGATGATAGGTTTCTCAGGAAAAAAGAAATGCTTTAGAAGCGGCAAGTGGGGAGAACATACATCCCTTCCAACACTTCTCGGAGCCCAGAAAGAACAGAGCCCGGGGCCTCCGACCAGAAGAGCATGCATTCAACGTCTAACCTAAAGAACTGTAAGTCTCAAGACATTGCTTAAAACACTAAACTCGTGATGTTTTTGTTACAGCAGCAATGATAAACTAATACCCCATGAAAGAAGAGAAAACAATCTAAATTGAGCCCTTTAAAGAAAACAACAACACAAAACCCCCACTTGGATAGAAATGAATGAAAGCCCGTTTTCACATCTGCTGAGATGTATGAGATTCAAGGGACAGGAATAGAGTCCAAGAAAGGGAGACAGGACCAGATGGTCCTGTGGCTTGTCCAGCCTCAGGGACACCTGACAATTTGGTCCAGTGCTATATTCCCCTTGCAACTGCAAAGCAAAAGCATTCACTGCCACAGGGCTCACTGTCAAGTAACATGAATTATTATTGCCTCATTCCCATCTACAGAACTTTACAAGCCCAGAAAACTCTTGGCCAGGAAAACAAAGAGAACAAATAAATATTGGCTCTAGGAATAGCCCATCGAAAGTGCTCAACATAAAACATCAACCAATGGTCCTTATTTTCTTTGTTCTGAGCCTGCGCTGGCAAAAAGTGTTAAGACAGAGGTCCGTTGTAGATACACATAGAGAGAGGGGTGAGGGCATAGAGAGACTGCTGAAAATGGTATCGTGAAACCCACCAAGAGACAGGGGCAGAAGAAAGAGGGATTAAGAAGGCGTCATCCAGACGCAGTGCATTTGTCCCAGCATACTGTATGTAGGTAAATGTTGTTAAGCATATGTGAATACCATGATACTCCTTCATTTGATTGATATAGGCCATTAAAAAAATTTTTAAGCACCCATTGAGCTTCGATTGGAGATTCTTTTAGCCTCTTTGCTCAAAATCTTTTCCTTACAATTGTAAACCAATTATACCACGGTCCCTACCCAATCCTTACCATGCCCCTACTCTGAAATACTTGCCTTAAAACCATTCTTCAAGGTGATAATGACTATCCCAACTTTGTCTTGCCCTTCTGAGACACTAACTAGATTAGTTTCACTGGTCAAGTACATTAATTTCCACCTGATGCCATAAGTTCATACGAATTCACTAGGTTAAGACAACACCGATTTATCTACAGGTCTAAAGATCAAGTGCCCCCAAATAGGCTTTGCTGGGTGAAAATTGAGCCCTTCCAGCAGGGCCATGTTGCCGCTAGAGACTCCAGAACTTTCTTCCCTCCTTAGGGGGTCACCGTACCTCTTGGCTCATAACCCTCCTCCACCTTCAAAACCAGAAGTCACCTCTCTCCCGCCTGGACTTGCTCACATCCTGTCTCCTTCTCTGGCTCTGCCTCTCTCCTCACTCTTCCAACAACCCTTGTAATTACACCGGCTTTAACCTAATAATCCAGAACAATCTTCTCCGTGTCAAAAGTCCTACTTACACATGCCAATTCCCCTCCCCACGTGAAGAAACATCTCCCCACGTTCTAAGGCTGAAGGTCGCTATTTTGCCTGCCACACCTACACGAGGGAGATATACTTAACCCTGTCTTAGACACAGAGTCTGGTACATCATACTAAGTGAAGGAACGCGTAAGGAGCATGTCTCTGTTGGATTCAAGACACATGAGAACTCGGCTGACTTCACCATAATGAAGTCCACCAAGTAACAAGTGCCAGGTATTGGCAGGACACGCCTACATTAAAGGTAAGTAGGTTACCCATGAAGAGAGATGGTGCAGACACACACACACACACACACACACACACACACACACACACACACACACACACACACACACACACAAAGATCTTGAGCAACCAAAACTGAAGTCACCCTGAGCTGACGGTTTTCCTAGATGGGCACAGTTCTTGCTTACTCAGCACCTTCTCTCATGACCTCATGACCCCATAGTCCCATTCGAATGGAATTATGGGAATGGATCAGGGAGTCCAAGAATCTTATCTTATGCCCTCCCTACCAGTGCCCTGCTGTTCTTTTCTTTGTGGATGAAATTGATTCTGGATAAAGCCTAGTCTTTCATGTTCCCTTGCTAGTCTACACCCAACACCCAACAAAGAACACAATGAATTTGTGCCCTATAATTAAGATTCACTTTTAAAGGAGATGAGTACATGTGTGTGTCTGCATAAATAAACCTATTGTTAATATATCTGCACACACAAAAATATTCTGTCTCATAACTCCTCTGAAATACTAGAAGCCAGAGGAAATGAAGTATAGCTGAGGGTTTGAAAGTAGAAAGGACTGTAAAACAACATCCTACAGCCGGCCAAGCCCTCGCTCATGAAGAAATACAGCATACATGCTCAGATGTAATGACTATGATGCAAAGCCAGTCTGGGCAGACAAATCTACAAGTTGCTAATCTCCAATTTAACTAACAAAGAGCCAGAAGTAGAGGTGAGGCTCAAGTAAGTAGAATGCTAGCCACGAGCAAACACCCTGGTACCAGGAAAAAGTTAATAGCAATAACAACAACAATGATAACAGAATAGTATTACCCATTTGACACAGTGGTTGCTATTATTTAATTATGTAATATATGTGAAAAGCACCTGTCATGTAATAACTCTTAATGCTGGATATTATTTCCAATGAATAAATACGAGTTCAACCGTGATTTTTTTTTTAAGAACTAGTAAGAATTATAAACACAAGGGTGAAAAACTCAAAGAAAATATTCTCCACACTGCAAAAGAAAACAAAAACAAAGAAGACAGTACAGTGAAGCATGAGAACAAACATAAACCAGAATGACAGGAAGAACAATAAAAGTATTATCAATACACACAACATTAATCAGTCTTATTAAATGACACAAATGTTCAGATTGCTCTTCCTAAATTCTAAGGCGTGTTCTACACAGCAGGTACTTTTAAAGAGGCATGACACGTATGAGAAATGCTTCTAAATTATCTCTTTATTTAGTTTGTCTCCACTGAAACATTTTAAGGGAG